TCGAATAATGTCTACAATATGAAAATAATTAATGCGTGTATCATTGTTATTATTAAATGTTTTTAAATAATCAGCATGAAGTAATTTTTAAAACATTACTAATTTTTACTTTAATATTGTAGATGCTGTTTAATGTATTTAAAATCTCTACAAATGATTTAAAACCCACATAAACCTACAAAAGTTCGAATGAAATTATTTAGGTGTAAATTATCTTTTCAGCAGATTCAATAATTAAAGGACAAGCGTTGACTAGTAAATTCCACTCGATTTTGTACTTAAAGCGTGGACGTGGAGGAACTGAGGCGAATATCTTCACTTTTTACCTTAACACAATGGCGTATGTGGAGTTGCATTACACGGCATGACTTTATCTATCGTCAGTTGCCAACGCCGTCCACCCCCACCCCATGCATCCCCACCACGGTAATGTGTACATCACCGTTGAATCCAGCAGAAACATATGTTCGAAAGCTACGACTCTTTCATGATCTCAAATGAATGCACTTCTGTATTAGCCAATCTACAGGGTTCAATTCATCTTCTTACCAAAATATACGCGATTGTTCAATCGTTGCCAACTGATCAATACTGACAACCTTTCTTTGCGTAGACAATGGACGTAATTTAAGTAAAGGTACCAGTCTGTGATTTATAGAGCTCTAGTATGTTTGTTTGACTGTGGACAAACAAACAATTTAATTATCATCAGCAAGATGTAAAGAAGTTTAAGAAAAAAAAATGAAATTAATGAAGAAGTGTTCTCATAGCATTAGCTTGTTTTCGGTTTATTGGCCCATTTACCACATTCGTGGATGTATCACCGGAAAGAATTAGGAGCTAAATGCATTTACCCGGGAAAACGAGGAATGAGAACATGATGTTATTTAATCAATTTATGATATGGTAATTCCCAATTCTGATAGATATTTATATATTTTTGATTGGAAATTAAAATTTCAACTAACGCAATATCATCAAATGTATATTGGAACTTTTATGTCTGCGTAAAGTGTCTTGCGACGCGTGAACTTTTATCGTCCTATTGGTTCTTCTCATTGTTTCGCATGCTACTAGGACATAAATATGACCTTTTCTTGCTTTCCTTATGCAGTTGATGGAGAGTACGTTGCAACTGTTCGGATTGTTTTGTGAGCATTATTGATTATTTATTACAGATTATAGTGCCTATCGTAGTGTAGTCAGTTACGTTTGTCGATTAACCTCTCATTCAAGCTATCTTTAAACACAATGCCAGTCGCGATTAGGGGGATAACATGCCCAATGACATCCTTTAGCTTGATGTCCATGTGTTCTAGGACCGAAATTTTGTTTCAGCATTTCAGGGATATTTTCATGAAAGCAAGCTATTTCTTTCGCGTTGCAAGACAATCTGTATACATCAAAGCCCTATTAGGATACGAGCCTGGATTAACCAAAAGTGCACGATGATGCCTTCATAATTCGATTCTACAACGGTTTGGATAAATACCTGTGAAGTAAAAAGTATAATGTACACCAAACCATGGTTTGTTTCACTGACCATAGTTCGTAAGTCAAACATATATGGGGCCCAGTATATCAGTACATATTGGATGTTTGTCTTGGTTAACACTCTAGTGGTGCATCGTTTCTATATTTTGGTGGTCGCTTTGCTTCTAATAAATCTGGTCTTGAACGAAACTCGATCACACACGCATACAGAGAAATAAAAAAAAATATTTGCTAGATTGTCACTTCGTAAAGGAATGATACAAGTCACACACTCTCTATAACCCGAAACTAATGATGTTGATGCTAAGTTATTTCATTAAATTTCAGTAAAAATTCAGTTACGAAGTGCTGACATTGCTCACAAGACGCGTAAATGGATACAGTATAGTACATGATCCGGCACTCTCACAACAGAGCATTATAAATTAAGCTTCTGTATCTGTTGGTTGAAAGGTACAGAGTTATATGTTAGGACATTCATGCTGAAACTCAGTCATTGGGAATATAAGTCAATCTGACCATGAAGAATCAAGAACTGATTGGTACTGTCATAGGTTAACAAATAAGTTAAGAACCAGCCATGGAAAAGCTGTATTGTAGCCACTGATTATCCCGCGTTAGCGGAAAATGAGGCAATATTGGCGCTGCTCACACAATATTTGATATCGACGGGATAAATGGGTGTCAAGTGGAAGGGTATCTACTTCAACATGGTGACATGGTGACACCACACAGGCGGGACAAAATTGGTATGTTAATCAGAGTGACATCAATCACATACAGCAACCAAACAACTCTAAGCTAGACCATGGCCATCTATGTGTATTTACCTAAACACAGCCATCGGACATGGTTGTATAAGCTTTTTCTTCATGGTATATTAATCTCCAATACGTCTTCATTAGCCACACCGCAAGTCATTGTCTTCAGTGTAAACAAATTATTGAATTAAATATATAACACTATTATATTCGACAAAATCTGGCTAATGACCATTATAGGCATTAAACTCATCAAGAGTTATAAACTTTTAGCCAGCATATTTTGATTTTAGGTAAATATTTCATTTTTATACCACTGTGTATACAGTTTCCTCAGAGTAAAGAAGGGTATCCAGGTGACATATAGACAAAACCAAACATTAAGTTCTACTTCAGAATGCTTGCCGTAGAAGATACAACTAGCTAAACAACATTTTTGAGACACCTTTCATCTCTGGAAATATAGAACTGCTTGAAGAAGAAGAGTTCCCGAAAAAACACCGAGACCCAACCTTAATTTCTTTTTGCTGATTGTAATTTTGTTCGCACGATATCAAAGCTATTGTAACCATTAATATTAAACTGATCCTTATTTTCTGCCCAAATTTCAATAAAAACCTACGATATAAAAGTTTTCGACAAAGTTAATAAATTCCGATCTATTTTATCTAGAAATGTTGCTACCAAATCCAGATATATTTCATACTATGCAATAGAAAACAGAAGTAGAATAGTTTTCATCATAAACATTTTGTAGGCCTAAGCTGGATTCCTATATTTTGTCTGCAAGAACAGAAATAATGTCCAATCTCATCTAATGCATAGTTGTAACCGTCTATTATTGACTTGCCATATTTGTAAACACCTTTCTTTCCTTGTTCTATGGATACTTTCTTCAGTGTTTGGTAGAGGCTTATCATGAGCTTTAACCACTCAGAATGAAAATTCTCAGCTATACGTATGTTAAATATTCTGGTATCTGGCCGCAGTATCTTCATTCTCGGCCGCCATGGTCCTGCGGCTGCTTCACTGACTTCTTTCCTTGTTTTTCTATAGCGTCTCAACTTTTCTCTTTGTTGCTATATTCGGAAAAAAATGATGATCGCGGATATTTTGTTTCCGGTTGATCTCAGCCGAAGAACTCTTTCATTTTTGATCCTTTTAGAGTCGAATTCAAATACGTCCTTCAGATAAATTTTATTAGAAATTTCTTCATCCTCCCATATCTCTTTGTGGTTTTCAGGCCCATCATAAAAAGACTAAATTCTCTCGAGGGCCATTGGCCTCTTGTTAGCTTAGCTTTTTCATTCGCCTGCAATCTTGCGTCCGTTTTTATTAGCTCTTCCCATCTCTTCTCAATCTTATTGAACAAGACCATATTTTGATTTGTTCATTTTCAACAGCAATAAATCTTTCATTAAGCTTCCTTTATTTATATTTTTCTTGTATTAAATTTCTCATATTTGAACCCATTGTATGTGTCGTCTCTATAAAAGTTCTTGTCGTTCATATCAATCCTTTCTGTCACACCAAATGCTGTGGAGCGGAAGTTATTGCGTTAGTACAGAAACACGAATTCACTTGTCATATTAGGCTTACATATCTATGTAAATAATGTATTTTGTGAGTATGTCTCTTGTTCCTCGGTAAGATGATGTGACCTGGCAATATTGAGAAGCCAATATGACGATTTTGATTCATGTAGAAGTGTTCAGCATTCTTGATTGGTTTTGTTGGGTTTACCCGTAGAACTGGGACCTGAATTCTGCGCACAAATAGCAGGAAGACCAAGACATATTTTTCACTACCAGAGATAAGCCACTAATTTCCATTTTATTTTAAATTGATATAGATTTCAGGGATTTGTTCGGCTGAAAGAAGCAACCCATCCAACAATCCCTCCTCCACCCCGCACCACGTTCAATACCCAACTTCAAGCTCAACACAAGGTGAACAGTATAGATAACTTCTAAATAGAATTTCTCAAATCGAATCCATGAAAATCTTGGGGACACATTTAAACATGTTATTGGTTATACATATTCAGCTATAAAATTAAAAGATAGCTCGCATGAAGGATTTTATTTAATCACCTACTCCAGTGAGGCAGATAGCTATGGTTGATTGGCTGAACGCCAGTGATAACGTCAGAATGAAATGAACACTATTTTAATTAGGTGAAGCCTGACCCCAAACCACGTCTGCACTGGTATGTACATATATCCAACCTTCTACTTCTACACTCACATTCTAAAAAGAGTCGATATTTCTTACATTCGTTGTATTGCCTATGCAGATTTATGATGATACAGTTTTTAATGTCTCGTATACCTTAAATCCACCCAAGTGTTATCTGTATCATACAATCTGGAAATTCTGGGTAGAGCATTGTAATTGTCACCTCTTGTATACCTGAACTTCAATCTTTATATATATATATATATATATATATATATATATATATATATATATATATATATATATATATATATATATATATATATATATATATATATGGGTCAAATAACGATCAATCTTTAAATTTAAAAAAAATTACACAGATTAGATATTATTATTATTATTATTATTATTATTATTATTATTATTATTATTATTATTATTATTATTGCAGCTGCTGCTTTTATTATTGACAATTATACGGATTCATAATTTACGTCTCAAACCAACTGAACATTAACCTCAGAGAACCTGCTAAGAATTAGGTGACTTTACATCAAACCGTACCGCTCCAGTGGCCTAGTGGTTAGAGCGTCCGCTTCGGATGCGGGAGGTCTTGGGTACAAACCCCGACCGAGTTATACCAAAGACTTTTTAAAATGGTGCTAACAGCTAACTAGCTTGGCGCTCAGCATTAAAAGGTCAATTATAGTTCTGGTCAGCCTGGTGTTAGCATGTGACTTGGTGGTACATTATTCCATATTTCTTTGGCATGATGCCAAAGTGCTAGACATCACTTTAAATTGTCATACTGCAGACATCGTAGCGATATGACTGACAAATCGTTAAAAGCTACATTAAAAATCTAAATTACACACACACACACACACACACACACACACACACACACACACACACACATAAAACCTGGGAAATTAAATGATCTTGACAATGTAGAGGGATATATCTAGTGTAAACAATAGCACGTGCTGAGAAATGACCTACATATTATTTAGCCAAATAAGTGACCAATCACCTTCCTTCTTTCAATAGTGACAATATTAGATTATATAGCTCGGCAGGAGATTTCTCTTACAACGTATTAAATAAGTCTAACCATATATTTGCAGCGCATAGACCAGATAATACAACTGTTTGCTTGAACTAAATATAAATCCCGTACAAGAATTCTGATCCCTCAAAATGGCTCTATAGTTAATGTAACTATGTAGCGGAAACAAAATATAGTATTATCCTTTAAAGGGGTTGAAAGGTGGTGTCAAGGAGAGAGCTCTTCAGTAGAGAAAATAATAACAATGTCTGGCTGTCTCGTGATACAAAACTTTATCAACGGAAAATTCGTACCCAGCAAACAGTTTATTGACAGTTACAATCCAGCCACTGGTAAAGTATGGGCCAAAATTCCCGACAGCGACGCCACAGATGTTGACATTGCTGTGACAGCCGCAGATGATGCTTTCCCAGGGTAGAATTTTTATGCATGCATCTTGTTAACTAGATCAAGGTGATATATATGACTGCTTAACCTTTTGTTGTTGTTGTTGTTGTTGTTGTTGTTGTTGTTGTTGTAGGGTTTAACGCCAATTTTCAGCACAAGTTAGGCTTGTGTAAATGGTGGAGGAAGAACCCAGGAAAATCCCGAAAAGAACCACCGACCCACGAGTAGCTGCTGACAAGTTTTCTCCCCTACCCACATTTCCCGAGTGCAAGACTAACTTGCGCAGAAAGAGATGAGACGGCAGTGATCCGTATTTTTGAGCGCTTTAGACCACTCGGCAATCCAAACCTTTTATCATTTCTCAAAGTTCATTATTAGGTAAAGAGTTTTAGTTTAATCTGATCTTTCCCACACACTGGTAGATATTTTGACATTTATAAAATGCTTAATTTTATGAAATACAGTGCACAATACGGGTCATGTTATTCCTACAATGTAAGACATCGACCCTGATATACACTGCTGTCTGGATTTTCTACTCGTGATCAGCAATAGGTCTTCACTCTATAATATTCACATGTATGACCAGCAGGATACAGAACACGACTTGTATCATTGTTTACAATTTACCTGTCATACATGTACTATATAATATCTACAAGGGAAGACACTTTTCTCTTTTCTTGCGCAACCTATTTATGAATAAACACTGATATTTTAAGCTACATAATGCATAGCGTAATAAATTTGGTACCGCTGTTTAGCTTAGCCATACGACTTTGTATGTGTATCTGAAGTTTGGCTTACTTTCATACCTTTTAAGTAATGCCAGACTATTTTCACACTGTACTCCCCAACATGGCCCTAATCAAACCTGCTTAATGTGCAAGTGAAATTCCACTGAATGGAATTTAGAAATGATAAAATAAACACTGATGATTGATGTAGACATCATCAACTATGTTTCTCTTAACCAATGAGAAATTAGTTAAAAGAAAATGATGTCCTCCATTTATCTACAACTTATTTTCAGTTGGCCAATGGGAAAGGGAGTATGGAAACCATTGTTATCAACCCATTCTTGTGAAAGTCATACCATTTTTGATTAAATATCCTCTGGTGTTGATCTTCTTCATGTTGCTTGGAATGTTTTACCAGATGCATCATAGATAATATTTTTCCAAAAATGTGTTCATAATAGTCAAGGGTTCGATCCCCGGTCGAGTCATACCAAGGACTTACAAAAATGGTACTAACAGCTGCCTCACTAGGCATTCAGCATTAAGAGGTCAGTGTTAGGACTGGTCAGCCTGGTGTCAGGATAATGTGACTGGGTGGGACATTATGCTGTATGTGTAAGGCATGATACCCCAGTCCTAGACATCACTATGTAATGCCACACTGCAGACATGTGATATGACTGAAAATTTTTTAAAAAAAAGAACCATCAAATCACACACACACACACATACACATACATGTTTTTTATGTATAATGTTGGGCAGTTCTACCTAGGGTATTCAGACCTTGAGATATGATTCACTGCAGTTCCGAATAGAGACTTCAAAACTTTTGGATATGATAGAATATACATTTGGGTTGAAATGATGCATCAATACTTTTGCTGTAATAAAACACCTACCAATACAATCAATACAAAACAATATTTACCATATGTAAACTATTTTTATCGTCTTTGCTCATAAATAATTATTATTAATTTGCCTTGTTATTCTTTAAATATAGAATTCATCTGAGATAGCATTTACCATCCTAGGCACTCATTTTTATTATTAGAAATGATAAAGACTGTTGAGAATACAAGTTCACCATCAGCAAATTCAAGCAAAGTGACATGGTTCATAACCTGTATACACCCCTATTCAGTGTTAATTATGACAACCCGATGCATGTTCAGCATATAGCATCCATTCCAAATGTGTTGCACATATATAATGAAGTGCTTTACTCATCATTTAATAACAACATTTGCATCAAGTTTTTAAGTTGAATTTTATCTTGTCCATTTTTGTAGATTTGACAACTATTTATCACAGTAAAATATGTTACATTGAAATGTCATTGGTTGTTGTCGCATGTTATGTTCCAGGTTAAATAATATGTCGAATCAGTATAGTTTATTCCCTGCAATACTAGCAAAGGAATATATAAACTTTGCACAACAGTCATTGGTATTCAGTACATAGAACAGATATGCTGTCAGCGTTGCGATTGTGTGAATCATGCAAAATTTGTATGAATTTGCATACTTTTTTATTATTATTATGACTTTATTTAAAGAAGGTAACTCAATTAGCTGAGAACTAATATACCTTGAGGCCAACTTTGAGAACATTTATATGCATGAAGTTCTGCAAAGTAGTTGAAAATCCCATATATGAAAATGTGCTCTGTAAAGCATGCACTTTTTATTTAACCATTTTTCTTCAAAGTAGTTGAAAATCTGTCATACAAAAATTTGCTCTGTAAAGTATACACTTTTAATTAAGCCATCTTGATATCTGTTTTTCAGAAACGTTATTTACACATCAGGATTCTTCAAGCATGACATGAATGATTGTTAAACTAAAACTGATTGGCACATTGTGCCCTGGAATAAGCATTATGATGTAGTTTGAACCTTCCATGAATGATCTTTTACAAATACATGTTTAAAATATGGGCTACCTAGAAAACCCAAAATGTCTGATTTCTGGTTCATTATGTCTATGTTTGGTAAATACTGTTGATAGTGATGATGATCACATTTTTTAAAGTTTTTATGTATATTGGTTTGTTGGAACTGGGAAATTGTTAATGAAGATACCAGTGAGTGATTTTTAGCCCAAAAATGATGTTAAATGTGAGACATATCATATTTGATGGACAAAATAGATGGCATGATTGTTAATCTCCCTCAGCAATATTTGAAAATTAAAAAGGGAAAAATTTTAGCCCAAAAAATACAGACAATTTAAAAGTAGAATGCAATTTTTATTTTTACCAATACATTTGTTATGGATCATATTCTATATAACAAATCATATGTATAAAACCATATTAGGGTTAAGTTAAACTGAACAAATAAGGATTAAGAAAATGAAAAAGTAAAGACATTTTTTTAAATACCTCTGTTTGCAAAAAGACTATGGCATTGGTGGACTAACAACCCTAAAACAGCATTAAAGGACAGATAATAAATCTAGCTTGACAGTCTTTAACCACTAATTAAAATAAGAAAGTTAATGTAAGTGAAAATACCTATTTTGGAGCAGATGTACCCACCCAAAAAATATGAGCTCTGGAAAATTGTAAATAACAGGAATGCAGATCAGTTCCCCAACATCTTCAAGCTGACAAAGCAGAAAAATTTTCATATACAGATAAGAAACAGACAATGCTCAGAAATAATTATCAGATTAATACAGTAAAATCTGTATTGAAAAACCACTGCTATGTGAGACCACCTGTCTTGAGAGACCACAATCTTAATTAACAAATTTAGTGATTATATAACATGTTACCTGCTGTGAGAGACCACCTGACTTGAGAGACCACAATTTGTTGGTAAAAGATGTTGTCTTTCAAAACAGGTTCTACTGTACTGTTTTCATAAATTATTGGGAAAATTATTTAGAAAAATTTGCAATTTATAGAAAGCAAAGCCTAGGTACATGTATTATGTTATTTAAAACTTAACTTTAAAATGTAATTATGTAGGTCAGAAACGTATGGAACAATGCGATGTTGTGGAAATCGTGAGAAGCTTTGTAACTTAGGTCAAATATTCCTGACTTGACTCCTCTTTGTGAAAATACTACAAAAAGCTGCAAAGTAGATAATATTTAATCATTTCCGAAAATTAATACTAATATGTAAACAAATAAACTATAGACTTGCAATCCTATCATGGACTGTTGTAATTAAGTTATATAAAGTGAGTAATTACATTATGAAAACCACTCCTAAAAATAGATACATACATCTGTGTTGATTCCATTGGAAAGAAGAGTTGAATTCTCACAGGTACTTGATTTTCGGGTAAACTAATGTGTACACTCATCAGTTGGTGAGTGTACACTAGTTTACCCCAGAATCAGGTGTCTGTGTTCATTTTATATACCAACTATAAATAAACCATGTCTGTAGTTTTATGCATCTTAGTGTGTTTCATGTGAATAG